TTTCTGTCTCTCTCAATATTTCTTCAGGCTCGGATTCCAAAATAAGAGCTATATCCTTTGCAACCACTTGTCTCAAATCTTCTTGATTATTTTCCTGCATTCCTCTTATTCTTAAAGCGAACTCCATACTTCTATATTGTAACATAGTAATTTCATCCTGAATTATTTCCACCTTATCTTCTATTTTACTTCCAATTTTTCAAAATTTTCTACAGCAACACCAATACGCTGATCCAAACGATCTATATGATCAGCAAACTTCTGAAACACAGACGCAATATCTTCTCTCAATTTCCTAAATTTATTTTCAATAATTTCACTTATCTCTTTTTCAATCCGTCGCACACTATCTTCCAAAGCGTCCTGTAAGTCTTTAGGTAAAACTGCAGGTAAAGCTGAGAAAAGTGGTGGAAATTTAGACTCAACTTGCTGAGCTATCTGCATTACCGAAGAGGAGATTGAGGCTTTAGAAACGAAAGCTCCAGAATGCTTTGAAGCCATCTTAAAAAAAAGAAAAAAAACTCTTAAAATCTTATAAAACCTTTAACAAAAAGAGAGAGAAAAAAAAGGAGACAGAAGGAGGGGAAAAAAGACAAAAGCCCCGTGTATATAAAAAAAAAGAAAAAAAAAGAAAATTGTTACATTGTTTCAAATTGAAGTTCCGGTCCTTTCACTCTTCAAAACAACATCTCAGCGCCATTTTTCACCCCTCTCAAATAAGAAAAGAGAGAAGATGAAATCTTTTCCAGAGTTAAAGTCTCAAAATAATCACAGATATAATCTCCCTGGTCAGCTCTGTCTGCTTTAAATTTTACTCACAAGTTCATTTTGAAAACAGATGTGTAAGCAGCGTCTAACTTTGCCCCCCCCCCAAAAAAAATTAGAGCAAAGACATCCTGGAATGTGGAGAACGCCTCAGACTCCGTGGGAGCTCTCACCCTCCGACAACCAAAGAAAAAAAAAACTTTGGGGTCTCTCAGGGAGCCCTGCCACTATCCGAAGGAAACTCATCTCCTCCCCTTCGCCCAGGGAGAGAGATTCCAAGCCGCAAGACGGCTGTTGCTCGCTGTCTCAGCTGGCTTTGACACATTCCAGGGCGGACGGCTGAAAACAGCCGCCCTCGGCGCCGCCGTCACAGGAAGTCGCCGAGAGCCCTGAATTTTGGACTCCCATATAATCTTTGATCATAAGACAAACATTACAAAATCTATAAATCAGCCAGTAAATCTTACACACAGGTCAGTTTTTCAGATAACAAAAAAATTATCTCAAACCTTACCCAACGTCTGCACCAAACGCTTCTCATCCGTTTCCTAAATCCTCCCAATAAATCCAGTAGCACCCTCAGCCAGTATGGCAACAGACAGGTAAGCCAGCCAATCAACATCTGCTATGACAAAGGCAGGGCTCTTATGCATACAAACTGTTAACTTTAGGTGGTATATTCCCCATGAGAAGGACTACCCTGTCACTGCAGCAAGGAATTAACCTTTAACTTGTGTTTGTCAAGGGGAGGCAAGATCACAACTGGGAACAATAGGATCAGAACATTCAACATGGACAATGTCCAAGAATGGAAAGTTGGAACACTGAACGGTTCTCGAACTCTCTTCTAGCATCCTAGGATCATGAGGTCACCATTTGTGACCTTTATGGACAGCTTCCAACCAGCAAAGTAAAGGGGGAAATTGGATTCGCTTAACGACCGTCTGATTCACTTAACTGCAGTGATTTGCTTAGCGGCCGGGGCAAAAGAAAGTTGTAAAATTGGGCATGATTTACTTCACCACCACCTGGCTTAGCAAAGGAAAATCTGTCCCAGCTCTTATCATAGGTTGAGGATTACCTGTACTATGGAATTCAGTTCTCTCCATTTGCAGGCCCAGCAGAAAAAGGTGGTAGAAAGTAGAAGACCACTCCAGGTGTGAAGAAAGGCGTCCTTTTTGAAAATGGCTGCTCTTGTTTTTTTTTTTTAAAGTGCACATACTTTGAAATGAAATGAAATAATAGAAATGTGCCCAGCAGGGGATAAGCAGTACTTTTAAAATGGGGGGGGGGTACAGACAGTGGTGGGATTCAGCCAGTTCGCACCACTTCAGCAGAACCGATAGCTAATTTTTTGTTGCCCAGGTCCAGAATGGACTTCTGGAAGCGGCATCCACACAGAGAACCAGTTGTTCACATATTTGAATCCCACCACTGGGTACAGATCATTCAATGCTATCCGGAGCAATGCCATTTCTTCTACCTCATGGAGTATCCATAAAGCAGGACTAGCCTGTAGAACATCCTAGCAGAGACAGGTTTCTTGGCTGCATGATTTCAGATGACGTAGGAGAGTTCGATCTTAACAGGCCAGATGAATTCAGATCATGAGAAGATATGCGGCAGAAGGCTGCACATGGAGTTTTCTCCGGTTTAAAAAATTAATGCTTGGATTTATAAAAGTTTGGAGAGCCATGTTCTGGAGGTCTAGTAGAGTCACTAGCTGAATCAGTTCGGGTAGGACAGGAGAGACAAACTAATGACACCTGACTCATTATTGGACAACAATATAAGTTCCTATCACCCTTTCTCTAACATGCTAGTTTATTATGTACGTTGCCATTTTCAAAAGTGCTTGTGTGAAAAAGCGACCTACACACCAACTACAAATGGAAGTATTAGTTTTCCCCCTTATCCAGATGTCCCCCCGAGGGTTGGACTTAAGGTTTCTTCCCACAGTTTTTATTTGCTGGCCAAGATACAATGCAATAATTTAAAAGGTTGCATTGTGATCTGAGTTTTGATCATCTTGCTACTCTTCCTTGCCTCTGTAAGGGCACAGCAGAATACATTTGCAACTGGATGCAAAAAATAAGGTCAAAGAGAATATTTTAGCAGACAATGCTTGTTTTTTGTCTGATACTGGTGCATGTTGAGCCTCTCTCTTCCATCCAGCTGTTTAAAACCCTGGATTCTGATTCCTTTTAGCATTTGTTTATCTGCTAATCCTTCTTCGGTTTTGGAGGAATCAAGACCTTGCTGGAATACAGTCTAGCTTCATTCCAAGTCTTTTTGTGGACTACACTGTCAAAATACCAGGATATGTCTTCTCTCCCTTGCCTGGGTGAAGCAGAAGATGCTATGGACCATAGGTAGACTATTAAATGACTGACTTTTCTTTTTTTAAAATATCTTTGATTTGTTTATAAAATAAATATTCAGTGGAAACAAATGGACAATTTTCTGATGTTTTACATGTTTTACTCTTTATAAATTTGTGTGATGTTTTCCTTTTGAGGAAAAGGCTGGTATGAAGTGTTTTATGAAAATTCTATACAGTATTTTCCAATTATTTTAAATCTAATAATCCAATTTCCCTTTGTCTCAATATCTCCCTTTAGCCCATTAGTTGACAGTTTAGGATGCTCTCTAGTAAGGCAAAAAGCCCCAGATTTCAACCAAATTCTAGCTTTCTTCTTTTGCCAACCAGGCTTCCATATCGGTGCTTTTAAATCATTGAATAAATCTCCATTCTTGTGTATATTACTTGAATTAAAGGAGACCATCTAATTGCCAATTTTCTAAAAGATCTAACCCATTTATAATCATTAAGTTATTGCCCTAGTAACCCAGATCCCTGTATTTGCTCTGGTATAGTTGTCTTCAATTCAGTCTGGTCGTCTTCTTTCTTAGGTTTCTTCTGATTTGTATAGAAAATCATTTCCAGTTTTATAGTAGGTTCTTTCATTGCAATCAGGGTTTCGCTTTGTAAATTTAAGCTGGCACCTTGGTCTTTCAGTCTAGTTTTGATTATCTCATTGGCTTCAAGAATTTTTTCAAGTATAAGTTTAAACATAGCCAAAGTTTTTTGCTGCTCCTCCTCCATTTCTGACATGCTTATAGATGGTCTTTTAGTGAAAGCTATTTATTAAACAAGAGTCAGTAAGTATTCACCTCCACAATTCCTAGAAACCAATTTCACTGCCTAGCTGCTCTCTCAGTTTTTGATCTCTCTTAGATAACACCAAGGTCAGGTCCGGGCTATGAGCAAGTCTCTTTGTCAAAAGTAATAAATTGCTGCACCAAGCTTTGCCATAAGATGTCCCTGATAGCATTTAAAGTCTTTTTCAGATCCCAGGCTAGGTTTTTATCCAATTTAAGTTCTTTTTCTTCTTTTTTATAAGTAAATAATATAGCAGGTCCCCGTAAGAGTAGGAACTTTTTGAGTCCCCAAATTCCAAAAGGATGTAAATTCAATTATATTAAGTTATTCTTTTCAATCTTTTGTTTCCCCAGGTAATCAACACCACCATTTTAGAGGGTGAGAGGAAAATGTTCCCTTCCCTCTCTCCTCACAGGGGGAAGAGTTTTCAGGAAGCTTTTAACAGGAAAAGTACTTGGGCTACAGAGAAGGTAAAATCTCACCCTTTTTCTCCATGTTGCTTTCAAGGTGCTTGTTAGTGAAATTGGCTTCGGCTGTCAGTAGCTTAATGATGGGCCATGTTGATAGCCAATCTTTTCCCCATCACTTTGAAGAGCTGCCCCGATCAAACGGGAGGGCTGCCGCCGTTCCGCGATCACTCGGGGGTCCTCTTCACGCTCGTCGCCCCTACAAGGCAACTTCCGACCCTCTTCAGAGTCCCCCGGTGGGAAAAAAACAGACGGTGGATAGAGCGATCGCTCTACATGTCTCCCAGCACTGCGATTGCAAACCGGAAGCCAAAGTATTTATAATTCTTGAGCGACAGCTGACAGATACTATTTTCCAGTTTAAGCCATTCACTGACTAATTCAACATGGGAACAAAAGGAATCTTCAAGGCAAGTAGCTGAATCACTTTATATGGATAGAAGCAAGCTGTGAGCCCCTCTTAACGCTACCATCTACCTGATCTGAGAATAAGATTGAATATTTCCTGCAGAATCTCTATACTTCAATTTTATGAATGCTAGGTGTGGGGCCCTCCTTGCAGTCTTAACTGATCATAGCTGCAGGTATAAAGAGAAACAAAGCTATATGGTCTACAGCAGGGCTCAGTTTAATACTGACTAGTATTAGTTGAGTCACTTGATCCTAATGACATTTATTTAGAAATACAATTTCCTGATTTTAAAAAAACCCCTTCATTAAGATAAAACTGCAGTCTTAATTTTAAGCTCATAATTTAAGAGCTATGAATATTTAAAGAAGAGAATAACCACCATCAATTCAATCAATTAACTGAAAATGGAGAGAAACCACAGAAAATATCTAAACAGGTGCAGAGGAACAGGAGGAATACAAGATCAACCTCTGAAGGGCTGGAAGTACCATCCAATATGACCTCCTGTGCAAAACATCAATGTTTCTTGACCTTGTTGGCATCCATTACTCTCTGGCAACCACTGAGGTGCTTCCAGGCATCCCATATGAGAATAGAGGGAATGATAATCCACAGACCATTCAGAAAGACAAAGTAAAACCAGAAGTAGGTAGGGTGCCACTTCTCACTATGGCGAAAGCCATCACGGTATGCAGTGTAGAAGTAGAGAACATCACCATATAGTTGACCTATGGTTAGAGATAGACAACATGGCTGATTAAAGTAGGAAGAAAAGATCAAAAGTGGACAAGCCAAAAAAGAAATGCAGTCAGGTGTATGGAACATTAACCAAGAATAAAAATATTTAATTGCTTTTGAAAGATTGCATTAACATTTATATATCCTGACATACCTCCCTCCTTGTCTTGCATACCTACCTATTGACACCACTAGCTGCAGCACGTATCGATGGGACTGGCGTGAAAGAAATGCGACTGCAGTCCAAAGACTGAGGGGAGTCAAAACACAGAAAGTGACAGTTTCCACGCAAATTATAAAATTATCTGATCTGCAAATACATAAATGAAATGAATTTCATCTTGAGGTCCTAAAACATCCCAGGTTTCTTACAGTTCACTACATTCGATCTGGAGAGGGAGAAAGGGGATGATAGATTAGATAGACAGATATAGATAGATAGATAGATAGATAGATAGATAGATAGATAGATAGATAGATAGATAGACAAACAGATATAGATAGATAGATGGATGGATGGATGGATGGATGGATGCATGCATGCATGAAAATTCACAAAGATAATAAAACCAACTCAGGCCAAACAGCAGAATTTGATGCAAGTGAGGAGCGTGAAAATAATTTAGAAATATAAAAGATTAGGATCCTTAAAAAGAAATGCAGGAATTCTTTTAATTTTGTTGTACTCGCCCTATTAAAAAGTTGTCTTGGCAGCAGAAAATATATTAAGAGAACTCATGCAAAAATTGTGAACATCTCAGCTATATTTATGTTTGCATTATGTCAAATCATCCTTTCCCTATCCCCGTACTCAGACCAGGTACTTGTGTTCAAAATTGCTTAATGCTGGATCTTTGCAAAAATATCCAGACCTTTGCCTATCATTTCAAAGTTAATACTTACATCATATATCTGCTGTCACCTTTGCCATATTCCTTAACTGGAAGATATAAAGAGAAATTAGTAGAAGAAATTCATCGGAACTGCAGTAGAGAGAGTTTGTGAATTTCCCTGTATTTTTCTTAAATATTAATTATAAAAGGGTTGTGCATCACTTTAGATAAAAGGCAAATAGATGCTTGGAACATCCAGAGGTGCAGAAGTGACACCTGTCTCCAACTCCTTAAACCAAACACATCTGTTCTGAAATTTCCAAGTACTTCCTATTCTAGAAGGCAACATATAATGAATGTGAGATTATGAAGACCACATGAATGCTATCACGCCAATAAAACTTTCTAAATACACAAGGACTTACTTTAGCCTAAAATCATGCTTTTTGGTAACAAATGCAAATATTAAGAAACATACATTTTCACTTCTCGCAGTTTTGATAATACTAGAAGGAATCAAATATTCTTAAATTCAGATGTTGTTGTCGAATCTGAAGTTTTTAGTGTGTTGTATGTGTACCCCATTCATTATGGCTTATTCAGCAAACCATGGCAAAGCCAGATGTGCAAAGTGAATTATTGTGACTAATATAAAACGTAATTTTTCTAATCTGATTTCTGCTTCCCTTCTTGTTACAATTTCAAAGCATAGCATTATAGCTATATGTTTTTTACCTAGACTTTTATAAGGATTAAGTGATTTGATACTGCAGATTCTATACTGCTGGCTCCAATTCCCAGGAACCGTTATGGGTAATGATATTTCAGCTGACATACTATTATCACTTCTGCAAAAAATGCAGCTTTCTAGGTATATATATTAATATAAATATATAAACCAACTTGTCCACTTTGAAAACTTTCAGGTATGCTGGATTTCATTTCTCATTTTCTCTCACATATGTGGAAAGCATTAGGTTGAAGATGCTCCATGGATTAATCTCAACAAATACTAACCTGTCTTCAATCAAACTTGTTTTATCTACAACAGATACTGTTACATCTTGTTGTTGATATACATGCTATATCTAATTGGACCATATTCTATGTGAAGGCTAATTCAGGAGTTTGGGGAAGAAAAAGGAAATAATTAGGGAACAGATTGGTTAAAGTGCTGGTCTAGAAAGCAGGAGACAGTGAGTGACTTTAGGCCTGTTAGTCTGTCAGGCTGAACCACTTCACACATAATTCTTTTGTGGAGTATTAGATATGGAGGATGGAGTATTAGATATGTTCACTGCCTTGAGTTGACACATACAGTGAGGCGAATTTTAAAAAATGTAATAATACAGATACAAAATGAGCTGAGCCATATGGCAAACATCTTCCAACCACTGAGGGAAATACAGAGGGTTACATCTGCAAAATATTAGTATCCGCTTACATATTTCAATTCAAGATGAGTTTTTTCCCCCAGTGCTTTCTTTAATGCTCTCCATCAAGCCAACCTGGAGGATAGACTCTAAAACTTTTCAATAAAACAGAGGTGATTCAAAAGCACAGGAGGGCACACATATGTTATTTGTGCAGTGCTTTATGTCAAATGCATTTTCTCAGCATCATGGTGCAGCTGCAGAGAGCAGCCAGGCAACCACAGGGAAAAATGCATTGCTTTAAAGTAGTCCCTTTTCACATTCCATTGTACCCCACAGCCCTAGCATGCAACCTTTAACACAGGTTTCCTAAGGATAATTATATGTGGAAATCTATTTGCGGCCTTATTTCAGTTTTCACATCATATCAAGTTCCTATATGTGGGACTTTTCTTATGAACTATTAAGAATCAATAGCTCTACATGCACAAAAAAATAGACAGAGCTCTATATGGAGAGCATAGCAGAAGCATTAAACTATTCTAGTGTTATAACAGCTGAATCCAGTTTTATCTGCACATTTTATATTTTCCTCTCACTCTTATTGCACAGTTGTAATAGGTGCCTTTCAAAGGTACAGACAAAAAGCTGCCTGCAGATACAAAAAACAATCAATCTGGAGAATTTGGAAATCTATTTCTGGAGTGATTGCAGGATAGTGCTATCTCAAAAATAACCACATACATACAAGTAGTCCTCATTTAATGTCCACTTGTTCACTGGCTGTTTGAAGTTACAACAGTGCTGAAGAATTCACAACTGTCCTTGTAGTTCTGGCCATCATAGCAGCCCTATGATCAGGTTAATGTGGGTCAGGTACTTGCAACTGGCTTGCAATTATATCACAACATCCTGCTATTATGTGACTACCATTTGCAACCTTCATTGCTGGCTTCCAACAAATGTTAACAGGGAAGCCACCAGGAGGTTGCAAATGGTGATCATGTGACTGAGGGATGCTACAACCATTCAGGAGTCATCTAAAGAGGGAAACTGGGACTGCAGGAACTGTTCTTATAAGTCAGGGGTCTTCAGACTTGGCCCTTTTATGACTTGTTGACTTCAACTCCCAGAATTCCTCAGCCAGCATGCCTGGCTAAGGAATTCTGGGAGTTGAAGTCCATAAGTCATAAAAGGGCCAAGTTTGAAGACCTCTGTTATAAGTTGTTGTGGTCATGTGACATTGATTTATGGCCACATCAGTTACACTGAATTTGCTGGTCCAAGTTACTATTGGTAAGCAAAGACTCTCTACACAAGTGTCACTATCACATATTTGTGTTCTAAAGTCTGATTCAAGTACACAATAGAAGGATTTACCGATGTGTCATTTGCTCCATTTATGCCTCCTGCAGATCCTCCTGCCCACCCTCCACTTTCTGCCCATGTTAACCTGCTGCATCAATTTTTCCCCAAAATCAAGAGACAGAAACCAGATAGACACACATCTTACAGAGCTGCGAGAGAAAGGATTGATCCCCTGGGATTTCCATATAGTAAAGGGCAAACCAGCCATCAATGACAGTATGAATAAAAACACAGATGGTAAACCAGGAAATGATCAAGGTGCGCCAAGTTCCAAAAGGGCCCCACGTCTTGCTTCGCCAACTTGCTACGAACCAAGTCAATAGCAAGAGAATTCCTGAAGTAGAGAATACGAATGTCAAGAATTGCCATGAGGGTCGGTCATTTGGGATGTAATTTTGGAGTTCCAAATTCCGAGGCCAGTATGGGTGGTGGACAACATCAGGTTTTGCTTCCAGAACCATACTGGGTTGAGAAAGTGTGAGTTGAGCCAGTAAAAAAGGCAAGGGCTTTTTCTGGTAGAAAATGACCCACCTGCATTAAATACAGAGAATTAGTTAAGCACAACCTATGATCAGATTCTTTCAGTTTGATATTCTTTCGTCCGCCAGTTTGGAGGGGAACTCCGGTTCTAACGGGAGAGCTATCACTCTCTTGCAATCCAGCGAAAGCGCTTCCTTGCTGGTCACCTCTTCAGGGCCACTTTTTGACCCTTTTAGCCCCCCCCCCAGCGATGCGAAACTGAACTCAATCCGGGGCAGCCCTCCAAACCAGTGGACAAAAGACCGGCCATAGAAATATGACCTGTCACTAAGCTGCAGACAGCCAAAGTCAAACTTACCACCAGACACCTATAAAGCAGCGCGGATGAGACTGGGTGAGATCTGAACCTCTCTTCAATCCTATTTTTTTTATAGAGATTTTATTGATTCTCTTTTGCATACATATGTTAATTTTCCAATCAACGAGCTGTCTGGAGTTAGCTATGCTAATACATATTTGATTCCTAATCCTTCATTCTTTACTCTAACCAACGATAAAATAAATCCCAAGTTTGGTAGTAGTCTGTGGCTTCTTTATCTTTCAATCTCATAGTTAATCTGTCCATCTCTGTGCATTCCAATATTTTTCTAATTATTTCTTCTTCTGATGGCCATCCTTCATTCTTCCAATATTGTGCACAGATTATTCTCACTGCTGTGGTAATGTGTAAAATTAAAAATAAACTCTGCTTATTAATCTTTTCAGGTATTATACCTAGTAAAAAAAAAATCAATGTGTTCACCTAATATTTTTTCTAACCACGTATGTATCTTTTCCCAATAAGCCTTAGCTTTGCCACATGTCCACCAAATGTGATAGTACGTGCCTGGGTTGTGCTTACATTTCTAGCATCTATCTGACATATTTTTAAACATTTTTGCTAATCTTGCTAGTGGCAAGTGCCATCTATGAAACATTCTATACAAGTTTTCTTTATATGAAGTTGACATTGTTAATTTGTAATTTCTCTCCCATAGCTTTTGCCATTTTTCTAGTTCTATATTGTAGCCAAAGTTTTTCGCCCATCTTATCATTGTTTAACTTGTTCACTTTCCATTTCCAAAATTAACCTTTATATGCTGCCCGAAATATTTTTCCCCCTCGTGGAGAGAGAGAAGGGAAATTCTATCACACCCTCTAAAAACAGCAGCGAGCAGCGACTGATTATCCAGGGAAGTTTAAAACGTTGAAAGAATAATCTGATTCTAACTGGATTTTTATCTTTCTAAAATTTGAGGACTAAAAGATTTTTTATTCTTATTGACGATAAAAAAAAATCCTAAACTGTATGGGTGACATTTTATGGCTAAACATGATACTATATCTATTAGAGGACTGGAGGCTAAAACATATAAGGAAGGGTTGCTGGACTTGGGTATGTCTAGTTTACTAAATAATTACTTTTGTTACTTATCCTTTGTCAGATGACAGTCTTACACACACACACACACACACACACACACACACACACACACACACGAATTATCCTTCGGTTTCAATTTGAGACAAAGAAAGTCTTTTTCACGACTTTTTTTTCCTGTAGTAGAAGATTCTTGTCTTCGCTTTCTCCGTTCTGAGATTTAGAAACTCAAACTGCACCCATCATTCCAACTACGGAGGAGAGCCCTGAATTTTGGACTCAAAAGCAAATCAGGAGGATGGTCTTAGCAGGACCTTGTGCAAAAAAACCCTAATACGACGGGCTGTAAATGAGGCACTCTGCAAATACAGTATATAAAAGATTTGTGCCCCTAAACACAACATCTATCCCGTATAATCTTTGATCATAAGAGAAACATTACAAAATCTATAAATCAACCAGGAAATCTTACACACAGGTCAGTTTTTCAGATAACAAAATTTTATCTCAAACCTTACCCAACCTAGCTCGCAAAACTTCTGCACCAAACGCTTCTCGTCCGTTCCCTAAACCCCCCCCCCAATAAATCCAGTAGCACCATCGGTAGGTATGGCAACAGATAAGTAACCCAGCCAATCAACGTCTTCTATGACAAACGCAGGGCTCTTATAGGAGTTTTTTTGCTGTACCCGCGCAGCTAATGGGAACGTAGGCTCTGACATCATACAGTATTCTGGCAAACCAATTGATGGAACGTGGCTGAGGCTATGTGGACTCGTGCATAGTCTTCACCGCCTTCTGGCGTGGTTTTCTGGTCACTTGTGTCTCATTTACTTACTACTTATCTAACAAATCTATATAATCGCCCACCTACTCAAGGAATTATAACTCAGGGTTCAAGTAGCCATGGTTTATTGCATAAACTACCATGGCTGGGCGCACAATCAACTGATCATCCACTTTCATTCACACAACGCTTTAAAGCACAAATTTTCTTCAACATGTATACATTCTGTCTAAATAAACCATTGTTTAGCATCTGTGTCTCCGACAAGTGTGATAAAAAACCTGCAGTTATCCAGATCGAGGGTTAGTGTATTGCATGTTTTCTGAGCGCTTCCGATCGGGCTGTACTACCTGCCAACAAAAGGTGATGCGCTGGAGACTGGAAGGGTCCCTCTATTTCACAGCGCTCTGGCTGCAGTGCAATGTGGACGAGGGGCACGAAATTGCAGGCTAAGAGGGTTAGAGAGGCTGGGAACAAAGTCACCTTACAGAAATGGTATAGGGTTTCCTGCCTGAGCAGGGGGTTGGACTAAATGACCTCCAAGGTCCCTTCCAACTTTTATTATTATTGTTGTTGTTATGTAAGTTGGTGAGAAATAGATAAAACGTGTATCCTGAATATTAGACTTTGTGATGAATTGTGATAAAGGGAACTTTGGTTACTTAAAACTTGGAAACTATAAATATTAAATGTTAAATTTAAATATTAATATTAATGGGAAACTAAAAATTGGGAAAAACGAATTAGGACATTGATTGTCCATAAAGACTGAATGTTAAAATAACCAGGATATGTATAAGCTAAAAATTATTGATAAATATAAGAATGTTATTTTTATTTAATTGATATAATAAGAATTGTATTAGTTTAAACATGAGACAGTAAATACTAAGGGGAAAAGAGAGGAAATATATAATGTGGTAGTTTGAGACTTGTACTAAAGATACTTGTATGTCATTGAATTATTGATTAACTCAGCCGCCATGTTGCTTTTTAAATATTTAAATGTAAAATTAGAAAATCAATAAAAGATAAAAAAGAAACCTAACAGTTTACTAAATAATTATTCTTGTTACTTATCCTTTGTCAGAGGACAATCTTACACACACACACGAATTATCCTTCAGTTTCAATTTGAGACAAGGAAAGAAAAGTCTTTTTCAAGACTTTTTTTTTCTGTAGCAGAAGATTCTTGCCTTCGCTTTCTCCGTTCTGAGATTTAGAAACTCAAACTGCACCCATCATTCCAACTACGGAGGAGAGCCCTGAATTTTGGACTCCCATATAATCTTTGATCATAAGACAAACATTACAAAATCTATAAATCAGCCAGTAAATCTTACACACAGGTCAGTTTTTCAGATAATAAAAAAATTATCTCAAACCTTATCCAACGTCTGCACCAAACACTTCTCATCCGTTTCCTAAATCCTCCCAATAAATCCAGTAGCACCCTCAGCCAGTATGGTAACAGACAGGTAAGCCAGCCAATCAACATCTGCTATGACAAAGGCAGGGCTCTTATGCATACAAACTGTTAACTTTAGGTGGTATATTCCCCATGAGAAGGACTACCCTGTCATTGCAGCAAGGAATTAACCTTTAACTTGTGTTTGTCAAGGGGAGGCAAGATCACAACTGGGAACAATAGGATCAGAGCATTCAACATGGACAATGTCCAAGAATGGAAAGTTGGAACACTGAACGGTTCTCGAACTCTCTTCTAGCATCCTAGGATCATGAGGTCACCATTTGTGACCTTTATGGACAGCTTCCAACCAGCAAAGTAAAGGGGGAAATTGGATTCGCTTAACGACCGTCTGATTCACTTAACTGCAGTGATTTGCTTAACGGCCAGGGCAAAAGAAAGTTGTAAAATTGGGCATGATTTACTTCACCACCACCACCTGGCTTAGCAAAGGAAAATCTGGTCCGGCTATTATCATAGGTTGAGGATTGCTTGTGCTATGGAATTCAGTTCTCTCCATTTGCAGGCCCAGCAGAAGAAGGTGGTAGAAGGTAGAAGACCACTCCAGGTGTGAAGAAAGGCGTCCTTTTTGAAAATGGCTGCTCTTGTTTTTTTTTTTTTAAAGTGCATATACTTTGAAATGAAATGAAATAATAGAAATGTGCCCAGCAGGGGATAAGCAGTACTTTTAAAGTGGTGGGATACAGACAGTGGTGGGATTCAGCCAGTTCACACTACTTCAGCAGAACCGGTAGCTAATTTTTTGTTGCCCAGGCCAGGAATGGACTTCTGGAAGCGGCATCCACATAGAGGACCAGTTGTTCACATATTTGAATCCCTCCACTGGGTACAGATCATTCAATGCTATCCGGAGCAGTGCCATTTCTTCTACCTCATGGAGTATCCATAAAGCAGGACTAGCCTGTAGAACATCCTAGCAGAGACAGGTTTCTTGGCTGCATGATTTCAGATGACGTAGGAGAGTTTGATCTTAACAGGCCAGATGAATTCAGATCATGAGAAGATATGCGGCAGAAGGCTGCACATGGAGTTTTCTCCGGTTTAAAAAAATAATGCTTGGATTTATAAAAGTTTGGAGAGCCATGTTCTGGAGGTCTGGTAGAGTCACTAGCTGAATCAGTTCAGGTAGGACAGGTGAGACACACTAATGGCACCTGACTCATTATTGGGCAACAATATAAGTTCCTATCACCCTTTCTCTAACATGCTAGTTTATTATGTGCATTGCCATTTTCAAAAGTGCTTGTGTGAAAAAGCGACCCACACACCAACTACAAATGGAAGTATTAGTTTTCCCCCTTATCCAGATGTCCCCCCGAGTGTTGGACTTAAGGTTTCTTCCCACAGTTTTTATTTGCTGGCCAAGATACAATGCAATAATTTAAAAGGTTGCATTGTGATCTGAGTTTTGATCACCTTGCTACTCTTCCTTGCTTCTGTAAGGGCACAGCGGAATACATTTGCAACCGGATGCAAAAAATAAGGTCAAAGAGAATATTTTAGCAGACAATGCTTGTTTTTTGTCTGATACTGGTGCACGTTGAGCCTCTCTCTTCCATCCAGCTGTTTAAAACCCTGGATTCTGATTCCTTTTAGCATTTGTTTATCTGCTAATCCTTCTTCGGTTTTGGAGGAATCAAGACCTTGCTGGAATACAGTCTAGCTCCATTCCAAGTCTTTTTGTGGACTACACTGTCAAAATACCAGGATATGTCTTCTCTCCCTTACCTGGGTGAAGCAGAAGATGCTATGGACCATAGGTAGACTATTAAATGACTGACTTTTCTTTTTTTAAAATATCTTTGATTTGTTTATAAAATAAATATTCAGTGGAAACACGTGGACAATTTTCTGATGTTTTACATGTTTTACTCTTTATAAATTTGTGTGATGTTTTCCTTTTGAGGAAAAGGCTGGTATGAAGTATGAAGTTCTATGAAAATTCTATATAGTATTTTCCAATTATTTTAAATCTAATAATCCAATTTCCCCTTGTCCCAATATCTCCCTTTAGCCCACTAGTTGACAGTTTAGGATGCTCTCTAGTAAGGAAAAAGCTCCAGTTTTCGGCATCCATTATGCTCTGGCAACCACTGAGGTGCTTCCAGGCATCCCAGGTGAGAATACAGGGAATGATAATCCAGAGACTATTCAGAAAGACAAAGTAAAACCAGAAGTAGGTAGGGTGCCACTTCTCACTATGGCGAAAGCCATCACGGTATGCAGTGTAGAAGTAGAGAACGTCACCATATGTATGACCTACGGTTAGAGATAGACAACATGGCTGATTAAAGTAGGAAGAAAAGATCAAAAGTGGACAAGCCAAAAAAGAAATGCAGTCAGGTGTATGGAACATTAACCAAGAATAAAAATATTTAATTGCTTTTGAAAGATTGCATTAACATTTATATATCCTGACATACCTCCCTCCTTGTCTTGCATACCTACCTATTGACACCACTAGCTGCAGCACGTATCGATGGGACTGGCGTGAAAGAAATGCGACTGCAGTCCAAAGACTGAGGGGAGTCAAAACACAGATAGTGACGGATTCCACGCAAATTATAAAATTATCTGATCTGCAAATACATAAATGAAATGAATTTCACCTTGAGGTCCCAAAACATCCCAGGTTTATTACAGTTCATTACATTCAATCTGGAGGAGAAAGGGGATGATAGATTAGATAGACAGATAGAGATAGATAGATAGATAGATAGATAGATAGATAGATAGATAGATAGATGGATGGATGGATGGATGGATGGATGGATGGATGGATGGATGCATGCATGAAAATTCACAAGGATAATAAAACCATCTCAGGCCAAACTGCAGAATTTGATGCAAGTGAAGAGAGTGAACTGGTGCAAGTTCTTTCCATTCAAGCCTTGCCCATTTTATTTTCCCAAGCTCAATTACTATGGCTGAGGGGAAAAGAGAAAAAAATGAATTAAAAATAAATGGGGAAAAGTAGAATTTAGCCATCCCTTGCAGATAAAATAGTCATGCTCATCAACCAGATCTTCCACTGAGCTGGGAGAACCCCACTGATAATACTCATCTCAAAAGTTCATAAATATGAGACTGGAAAACAAATATCATTCCCTGATATGCTCTTTTAAAGCATGAATAGAATTCAATGGGATGTTTTTTTCTAAAATAATTTAGAAATATAAAAGATTAGGATCCTTAAAAAGAAATGCAGGAATTCTTTTAATTTTGTTGTACTCGCCCTATTAAAAAGTTGTCTTGGCAACAGAAAATATATTAAGAGAACTCATGCAAAAATTGTGAACATCTCAGCTATATTTATGTTTGCATTATGTCAAATCATCCTTTCCCTATCCCCGTACTCAGACCAGGTACTTGTGTTCAA